CCTAACGCTGAAAGGACAACGACACACACACACACACACACACACACATATATATATATACATATATATATATATATACATATACATATATATATATACATATATATATATATATACATATATAACATGTATCGAGATGCTATGACAGGCATAAAAACAAATCATGCAAACATATCGAGTATACTCAAGTGCTAAGAATCGATTGTTGTTCCGACATGCGCAACGCATCTTCAGAGCAGTATCAAACACGGATTTATACCAGGCTCACCCAACAGCACTACCACGGGCACATACCATATCGAACTCCTGTTGTAGCTGTGCCAAGTGATGTAGAGTACTCAGACAACTCGGTCTTCCCGCAGAAGCCTGCATAGACCCCCACGCACTTGAGAGTTCACCTTCATCCTGCCCCTCACAAACCTCCTCGTACACTTCGAGCACGCGCATGCAGAGTCTCAGAAGGGACAGACGCTCAGCGAGCAAGCGCTTGTGTTCCTCATTTGTTTCGTTTGCCTCATTTGTTTCCGCTGACTCGGTTGATGCTCTATCCGTGTAATGACTGTGATCAGTATGCATGGCCGTGTGTGGCGTTTGTGGTGTAGCTTCCAAGACGTCAGCGAACCGTTGGTCTTTGTAGGCGAGCACCTTTACAATGTCGTTCTCGATCTCCTCCACACATGTCAATAGCCGTGTCAACACCTGTAGGGGATAATCGTTATATGTTTTAACAAGTCATAATATTTCAAATATGGATTTAGGGTTCAGTGGACAGGATTATAAGTAGGGTTTAGCAGGTTCAGTAATGTATAAGGTAGAGCACCGGATTAAGCCCAATCTGCTAGGCTGACCTATGTAAACGATAACACGCTCAGTGGTATAATGAGGAATGAGAAATGAGAAGCTGCGGTAATCTATGCATGATAATAATAGGCAATATAGGGGTATATATATTCATAACTCAATTTAGGAGTATATAGACAACCTAAAAGGGCGTTTACACAGCCTATAATAAGAGTATATACATAACACTTATAGGCGTATATAGCCAACTTAAAAGGGCGTTTGCACAACTTATTATAGGGGTATATACATAACATAGGGGTATAAAACCAACTTGTGGGGGTATTCACACATCTTAATATAGGGTTCAATACACAACTTAGGGGCTATGAGGGTATATAGACAACTTACACAACTTATTAAAGGGGTATATATATAACACTGACAGGGGTATACAAACAACTTAAAGGGGTATTCAGACATCGTGATATAGAAGTATATACACATCATAAAGGCTATGGAGGTATATATACAATTTATAAGAGTACATACACGATTTAAAGAGGTATACATACAACTTAGAAGGTATACACACAACTTATATGGGTACAACGAAAGACTTACCGGGCCCGCAATACGAGGGAACATTTGCTCGTCCATCTCCATTAGCACAGCACAGCATTCGTCGTACAGACCCTCCTCGGCTAAGAAGTGGATACGATTGACCTACACACATTGAGTGGAAGTAAATAATGGTAACTTAGTATTAGTTGGGAATAGGGAAGGGGTAGTTATAATAGTTGGATATAGGGAGTACTTAGTATTGATTGTATATAGGGAATGATTGATTGATATTAGTTGGAAATTAAGAATGCTCACTTAGTATTAGCTGGATATAGGAAATGTTTACTTAGCAGTAGTTGGATATAGGAAATGGTTGCTTAGTATATTTTTGGATATATGAAATAGTTACTTAGTACGCGTTGGATATAGGGAATGAATACTTAGTATTAGTTGGATTTAAAAAAAATGGCTACTTTGTATTCGTTGGATGTAGAAATTGGTTACTTAGTATTAGTTGGATAGAGGGAATACATACTTAGTAGTAGTATGATGGCTACTTTGAACGCACCTAGCCCTAGTCGAATTCAATCGTAATCTTGAGACCAGTGGCTGAATATAGTAGATTAAACATACACTTGTGAAAGGTCACACCGGGGATACATTCCAGCGAGTAGGAGCATACTGTTGCCATAGCAATGTTGTGTACACATGGTTCCTCATTGGAAGGCGGTCTCCATACATCTAGTAAAAATGGAATTTTCATTGACAGTGTGATCTCCACAAATAGTAAACCGATATTGCCACTTTCAACGCACAAAGTCTCTCATCCATGTACAAGCTTGATGTATATCACAGCCTGGCCTGTTGCCAATTCCATGTACATAAGACTAGGTTTACATCACTGTCTGAGCTACTGCTCTTCCCACTTACATAGGCTTCATGGTGGGCTATATTCCAAACCAGAAGTCATAATCCAAACACAACTATACAGCGAGTTCAATAGGACACTTACATAAGCGTCGCGCTCGTCCAGGCCAGAATAAGCCCGAGAAATAGTGAGCGCATCTTGCAATGCACTGGGGCGCGTCCTCCGGCTGCATACGAATTTCAGCAGGGCTTTCGCCAGCTCTGCAACAGACATTGGGATTAATGTCAGCCAACTGGTTGGTTCGGGCAGTTTGATAAGATGCGTGCCGATGTTCTCACAGTTTGGCAAAAGACAAACAAAAGTTCTTGTGGTGTCAGTCTATAGCAATGTAACCCATTGGGCCGGATTATCTAGTACCATGTATTTCCAGAGACCAATCATCTAACAAAATAGGGACCAACAGGTCAGTATACCCCTACCTAGATACTAACGAGCCCTACGTCCACACACATTCAACCGCTACACTATAGAGGGCAACAGCAAGTAAAACAGGCAAAATAAACGTTTACATGTACCAATTAGCCGCATGTCCACATACTCTCATTCGCGACGTTGAAGGAAGTGATCCCATACGAAAAGGCCAACGAGCGCAGGCAATACTCTTTGTAGGATGTGGTGATAGCGTAGCCTTGGCCCACTGCATGGTCAATCTCTGTCTGTAATCTGCAAATGGTCATTGACTGTTAATGACTGCCTTTGTCACGTGCACTATGGGCTGTACTATGTGTATGATCTTCCTCAGCCAAATTAAGTACTGAATGCCCTGACCGCTATTCATCAGACTACACAAAAAGGTGATCCTAAATCCTAAATCCTAGATCTATCCGGCCATTTCACACGCTCAACACTTGTTAAGATATTCATGTCACCGGCGACAGTCGACATGAACCTCCGCATTCCTATACACCCATACCCCTCTCGTATCTCACGCCCCCAAACAAAGCACAGAAACATACCGATCACTACACGGGACAGAAGCCACCCGGAAAATCTCCTTCAGACACTCTTCTCGGGCATGCCGGCCTTTCAGGTGAGCATACAGAGCCAGAACACGGCTCTCGGGGAAAGCACCCGGCTGAAAATTGACTGGTGCGTTTCTTTCAGAGAGTGTGATGGTATGTACAATGTACTCATGTAGGGCCGTATCTAAATCGAGATCCCTGCATGCGCGATATAGGTGAAGATTTGTAGTCTAATGGGTTGGGATGTATATCGAAAGTGGGAAAAATTGGTTGTACTAGGTGGCCGTGCCAGTTGCACCTGAATATACAAACATCTACATTCTATTCTCAAACGTCTCTCCTTGAGTTGGCCAAATGAAGCATGAATGTCACAGACCGGTCAGCAAAAAAGTTGCTATATACATCACCATGCATACCAAACAGTATCCACTTAAAGGTTAGACTATATCACGGAACACCATATACTGGGACACACTGCAGTACATCACCATGCAAAATAATACTGTGCAGTTGAACAAACACCATTTATTTAATCTAAAACAATAGAAACCCATACTGTAGCACACCAAACAGCACGGCGCCATGCGCTTAACACCATACCGCAAGTCAGCGAACGCTCGTGCTTTGGTAGCGATGAATGATGAGAGTACATCAACCGAATGAATGCGGTCTAACAGAGAGAACAGCTGCGCTAGCGGTGTTGTGGATTTGAATTCCTGTAGGAGTGACGGTGGAGTCAATGAAGATGTCCGCCGTTTTGTGTGTCGCTGAGCAAGGCGGTTCGTTTACATACTTACATGTGTATGTGTACAAGTATATGCATTGACCACCAATAGTTCTACATATGCACAGTATGTGTATAAGTATATGTACATTTGTATAAGTATATGTATTGGCCACCAATAGTTCTACATATACATTATGTCTCCTCAGATACTCACAATATGCTATGAAATGAGATATTCTTAGCGACACTCTGGGCGGTCCTAGCTAACGATCGCTTAAAAGCAATGAATGGCGCACTGTACAGTTTAAGACGTCTGTAGCTTGAATGAAATCGCCAGTGGATATCAACAATCCTAGCTGTTTATAGCTTAGAAGAGAACAGTGTGGTATATACAATAGGATAATCCTAGTTGCCTATCTGTGTATGGACTAGAATATACTAAAACACTATACTAAATACTAGTATTGCTACTAAAATATACTTTTAAAATATACTACTAGACTATACTAAATACTAGTGTATGCTAATAAAATTTACTATTAGAATATACTACTAGAATATACTATAGGTGTGGGCAACGGGCAAGCCTTGCCGAAATACATTGCATGTCCGCGATAATACGACAGTGCGGGACAACCTATACTTTGATCGATACAGTGGTATTCCAACAGCGGAAGAACCCTAACATGATTTAGAGGTATAGGGTTCAGAGTGTACCGAATTTTGGTGACAGGGTGGGTTTTAAGCGTAATATTGGTAGCTCAAGAGTCAGCAATATTAATAGCTGTGCATGTTGTAAGCCAGGCAACACATTACCAGAAATAAACCAATATAAAACAGCAGAAACAATACAAATAATTTTTTTATGAATTGTCTAATTGACGCGCACAGCCACCCCATCACTATATATATATATATATATATATAATATGTATATATGTATATATACATATATATATATATATACACATATACATATACATATATATATATATACAAATACAAATACATATAGATAGATATATAGATATATGGATATATAGATATATAGATATATAGAT